ATATATATATATATATAATACATATAAACTACTTTGATTAAAAAAATATTATTTACTTTAAAATAATAATATTTCTAATAATTTCAATGATAATGTAACATCAAAAATACTTTTAATTTAATAATTAACTTTACAATAGTTTTAAAGTTTTTTCTTAAATTAAGAGAATAATATCAACATCTCACTACATAAATGAATGGTCCAAAAATTATTAAATTCTAATTAGTGCTTATAAAAATTAAATAAAATATATATTGATCATAAGCAAATTAAATATTTGCTAAAACTAATTCCTCAAATCCATAAATACAAATCATCGTTGTAAACTAAAACCTAAAAAATTAAAAAAACGACAACATAAGCCTGACAATGCCCGGCTTGCAGCTTGGTTGGACATGATGATATTGAAGCCCTCTCTCTCTCTCTCTCTCTCTCTCTCTCTCTCTCTCTCTCTCTCTCTCTCTATATATATATATATATATATATATATATATATTAATTTTATTTATATGTATAATTTTAATTTTTTCTAGCAAAATGATTTAATTGATATTCGAGGTAAAGTAAGCAATAAGAAAATGATCTTTACCCATATTATATTTTAGCATAAAGACATTTATTTATAACTAATTTAATCTCTTATTAATTATATTTTAGTGCATGTAGGTGGGACAATGTTTGACAATACATATACAAATGTGATTTATTTTAAAATGCCTTTCCTGGTTAAACATTTATGCAATGGATGTTCAAATGCTTAATTATCATTTATTTTCTTGATATGTTTTTTGTAAGATAATAGATTTGTCAAATAATTGAAACTTATCATATTCACAATCATCAACGATTGATGCTGAACATATTATTGCGATGAACAATATTTGTGTTGCAGTGAGCATCAATTTTTTATAAGGCAACCCTAAAGCATCTCTTGTTTACTTTTGTGCAGACAAGGATTCAACGTTCATGTTTCCACAATTGTTCATAGGAAAAGTCAAATGGGATAGGTTCAAATAGGAAATAATATGTGCAGACAACAAAAATGCATATAGATGCAGATTTGGTGTCATTGTGGTGATGCTGTGATGATATTAATTACAATACCACCACAACACCATCAAATCGCATATGCATTATCCACACATAATATTTTCTCAATACATACAGAGTACATAAATGAGATTTTACATACGATGAAATATTACTTATAGACAGAAAAAATACAGATAAATGCAGATCTGGTGGTATTGTGATGATATTGCAACGGTATTAATTACAATACCACCAAATCATATATGCATCATCCACATGTAATGTTTCCTACATAATTCTTTAGAATGTGCATTGCTTTTGTCAACTTGTATTATAATTATTTCTAAGTAAACTCTAATTATATTTAAAAGCTAAAAAATATTAATTAATACTTCCTCTCCTTCCTCCAACTACTCTGACATCAGCAATCATATAGTGGAGAATTTAAAATAAAGTTTTATAATGATTCAAATCATTCGAATAAATGCAATCAAAATTAACATGATAAATTGAAAATATAAAAATTTATTTTGTTTTAAAGTTTCTGATGATTTCTTACTAAATATTTGACTTTTATTAGTCAACTTTATATGAAATAAAGGAGATCAGGGTTGTAGAATTGACTTTCACATTGGAATAGTCTTAATAACCATTTATCATTTTTAGGATAGTTATATTTATAAAACATATGCGATGATCTTTATCTTTAAAAGATGATAATTATATTCATAAAAGGTATTTTAACCTTTGTTTTTAAAATTTAACATACCATTTTAAGTTAGCATATTGTTGTAGGTGTAAAACATCAAAATTCAAAAGTTTTGAGTTGAATGAAATAAATAAATAATCATTGAAAAGATGAGATTCTTATGTTCAACTAGTTTCTTATTGGCAAGTGTAAAATGGTGAGGAAAAGTTGATCGATAAGTAAATGCCTTACTAGGGATGTAAGTGAGTAGAGTTTGAATGAGCTCAACATGTATTCATGTTTAGATTCTTAATATTTTTTTTTTCTCAAAGTTGGCTCGTGAACGGTCCATTCGAGTCTGGCTCTAAAAAATGTTTGTGCTCTATTTGCATTGGCTTGTTTCAATTAGTCAGAAAAATAAATATAGGTTGCTAGAACTGAACCCACACCATTTTTCATGTAACTAAAGGCACATAACCACATGACTTAGATGAAATAACTTACAATATTGGCAAAGAAAATGAAAATATGCTTTTTCATATAATTGGAGAGGACAAATTTCTCAAAACAAGTTCTCTAGCATAAATAAAAAACGCTTTTACTTCATACAACATCAAACTTATTCAAAACAAGACAAAATACCAACAATCAACAATCAACAATCAACAATCAACAATAAAAAACAGGAACACAACCCCTTCCCATATGGTTCAATCACTGCTAATAATTATCAGCGACAACAGAGGGAGCGGGTGCAGGAGCATGAACCGGAGAATCCACCTGCAGAAACTTATAAGTCTCATACCTCACCACACAGCTGCTTCCAAATACACGGCAGCCAGTCTTACCCACGCAGTAAAACGATATAATTTCCAATGCATTTTTCATACACTCATTGCATGCATGCTCTCCAAGATCCCGCGTGCACTGTGCCATTCCATATACCGTCAAGTTTTCATTCACGTAACTCTCCCCAAATCCGAACTTCTCTCTCCCTCTCACCGTTTCCTCCATCACCTCCCCCATCAGCTCCCCTGCCGCTCGCTCAAAAATCTTGAAATTTACAGAGGCGTCGAAGGAATACCACACATTGGCAAAGTATTTGTCCAGCTTGCCGATGAAGTTCTCGGTGTCGTAGTGAAGGAAGCAGTTCTCCTGCCATGCGCGGGATATGGCTGCGTTAGGGCATGCAGATCTGATATTTTGTGCTGCGTTGGTGATGCAGGTGGAGCACGCTTCCCGGCTCAGGTCTCCTTGGCATTGTGTGAGGCCGTAGATGGTTTGGCAGCTGTCAGAGGCGTAGGAGGAGATCGCGTAGCCGTTAAGAGAACTCTTTGCTACCATGTCGAGAAGGAGGTTGTTGATACTGGTCTGCAATATGTTGTTTTCAGTGAAGTTTTTTCCGCATTGTTGGATGGGTAATGAGACTGCGCCGAGGGTGGCGATGGGGAAGGAGACGAGGAAGAGGAAGAGGAAGAGGAGCTGCATCGTAGTCTACCAATTGAGCAAGTTTGATTAGTTTAGATGTGTTTGAATACTGGCATCCTGACATGCTCTTTATATATATATATATATATATATATATAAGAATTTGTCATGCCTTCTTGCTATTACTGAATATAATTGAAGGGCGGCAAAAAATTAAAATAATAAAAAAGAAATATAAGAAAAGAAAACTTGATCGACTCAAAGCCGGCGAAGTTTTCTAGAAGAAAAGGTCAAATTTAATATGTTGAAAGAAGGGACAGTCATGTACACAGTACCATTTGGTTTGCTTTCGACTTTAACAGGCTCTTTTAAATTTGTGATTCGGACCATTAGCTTGGATTATTTCAATGTCATTTTTGGGCCACTTCATGCAAAGGGTTTTGAAGGATGACATTTTGGGTTTCATGGGGTTGACTAATTCAGTTGCAGTATTGTCTATTGTTTGTTGCTTCGTCTCTTGTCAATTGCTTTGATTGATTATATATTAGTTTAGAAGAGATTTGCTCAAATCAAATAAATAATTTAATGGTATCAGAGGTGATCGTATACAAGTTGAAATTAACAAGCTCAGATCAAGCATTTGAAATATGGCTAAAAATTTTGAAACATCAAATAAAAGAGTGAGCAATTTCATATCTTAATAATCAAAATGAGATGCTTAAATAGAGAAATCAAATAAGCCCAAGATCATTCAATTATGATGTCATTAAGGCGTGGTAGAAAGTTGAACGAATAATTATTGGTCAAGTGAATTGATACAGGTTGTCCAATGGAACATTTTAAATATTTTGGATAAAAGTAGTTTAATACCATCCAACAAAATTATAAATAGTTCCCATTTCTTACATGACATTAAGAGGATTGTACCAAAACAAAAAAAAAAAAAATTAGAGATATCTTTGAGATACAAAAAACTCTGCCTAATCTTTAATGTCAATGCTCATCAATGGCAATCATTGACAATTGATTTTTTTTAGTTTGACCATAACCCTAACTTCAACACCTATTCATATTGTTTGATTGCTTTCTCCATCTTCATTTCACCTCCAACATTTTCCACGACTTTTGGCAGAACGTAAAGCTTGTAAAACAAGAATTCAACATCTTTGTGTAGGTTATATCAGATGCAAAACCAATGACATTTAAGGATTAGCGTTGGATTTGCATTTGATTTTCATCTGTTTTGTTCCAAAGTTAAATTGGGGGTCGGTAGTTTATTTACGTCTTATTTACTTTAAAATATTCTGACGCCAGTTATTTGTGTCATATTGTCGTCAAATTTAATTATATGTAACATGCATAGACATTTGCGTCGAAAATATCATACGATGAATAGTAGCGTCGGAATACAATATAATTTGCATAAAAAAATATCGTAGAACGATAGAATATTATTGTCGTTTTAGCGTTGGATTTTGCATCAAAAAATGGACACAGATCCTACGCATACTTGTAACAAAAATAATTGAATATCATTTGCCATTACACAATTTACACAAAAAACAGATTCCACATCATATACCAAATTAGGCATAGTCATATCACATATCAAATCTACAAACAATATCATTAATAAGAGGAATATACTTTCGCGAATAAGAATAATAAAGTTAATTTAAAAAATTCAGAACAAATGTTTGACATAATCCTTACAAATAAAAGAACACATAAAAAAACTATCCCCCCATCCTCCTCCTCCTCTTACAGGGATGTCATCGGCTGCTTACCTTTGCTATCTGCTAAAGTCTCCGCTATGTGCGCGATAGTCCTCGACTCTATGTTGGTCTTGTAGCATCTGTTGGTGCAACTTACAGATCTCCTTGTTCATAGCAACCATCTTCCTGACAAGAGTCTTTTGGTTTGGCTGTGAGGAGTTTTGAGAGCTAAGAATGTGACCACAGGAGAGCTTGACCTAGGAGGCTATGGCATTCGCTCCAAGGCTATAAATCCTCCCCTTCTTACTCCCTACCACATGTGTCCAAAGCTCATACTCCAAATGCATAGTGATAGACTGACTACCACTGTTGCTGACATCAGTCTGGGTTTGAGTGGCCAAGTGCCTCTCCTGGAACTGCTTAAACCCCTTCTGCATGATGAAAATCATCATTTAATTGACAATTTCAATAGTTGGAGTCAAAATAAAATTTTAATTGAAGGTTTTTAACTTATTACAACCCACCGAGAATGCTCCAAGACACATTCTACAGTCCCCGGGCACCGATGAGTTCAAATATGCAACTCCACAATGGAAGGAGCATGACTGAACTTCTTGGTTTGTGCAGTGTACAAAAATAGTTAGCGTTAAAAAATGACTCCAAAATCTGAATTAATGTTTAAATATCTAAGAAAATCTTACCAGCCTTCTGCAATGCTCTGTTTGGGGGACTGATCCATTAATGTGGAGCGCAGCTCCCTTGGGCCCCTCCATCACTCAGTTCACTTGACTCACCTCCTCTTCTCATAATCAGGAGAGGCTCAAGCTGTAGTCAATTGATCCTAGCACCCATCACCAATTCAGGCATGTCGTTCGCCCCTCCAACATTCTGTTGTGAACATGTCGATATGGCGATGCTTATCCCTAACTTCAAAGATTCAACGCATCTTCTGGTGGTGCTCTGGGAGCCAGGTGAAGGATCTCTGCAATGCAAAAATTCATATGTTAGTATAAAAAAATTAATATAAAAAACAAATTTGATTCATATTACATGATCGTACCTCAAACTCCCCGAACACTTGTCTTGAGTAGCTATAAGTATTTGCTTCCACTACAAATATGACTCATTGTACCTGCTCCTGATAATGATGCAAGTGACGGGCAACCCTTGGGTAATGAATCTGCTTAAGAAACAAATTAGTTACCAAAATATATAGCATGAAGAATAAACATAATACAATGTTAAAAATAACTTACGAGTCCTCCTCTATCAAAAAGTGAACCCTCGAGGAGGGGCAGAAGTAAATGAGCTAGGCTCAAGAGGCGTGTCAGGAATAGGTAGGGGAGTAGATGAGGAAGCAGTAGGCGTCACATGAGACGGGGTAGCATTAGGTGCAGGAGCAAGTGCCACAGGAGGGGTGGCAACAACAAGTGCAGGAGGAGGAGACACAAGAGATGTAGCAGCAGCCGGTGGGGAGGAGGTGCCACATGAGGTCAACAGTTAGGGGAGATGGTGCCAGAGGAGGTCCAACAATAGTGGAAGTATCAACAGAAGTTGATAACCTCCTTTTCAATACTGCACTAATAATCTTCAATATTTTGACTCCAGTAATTATGGGGGTAAACTTGATTTCTCAATTGTTTTTAAAGAATGCATCTCTGTTCCTTCTACATAGGTGATCCTGGTTTAGAAATCTTTGGTGACAGTCGAACTAGCTATTTTTCCTAGCAAGTTTCAAAGTAAATGCCTTCAACATTTCCATGCAGTAAGGACAAACAAATTTCCTTGTTGTGCTCCAACCAGTTAGCATCTCATAGGCTAGAAAATCACTAATTGCCCACATAGGAGCATCTCTCAGTTGACAATTCTACTTCGTAGCAATATCATATGTAAGCACACCAGACTCTTATAACATTTAAAGCTCTTCAATCAAAGGATGTATGTTGACATTGATTTTTCCCTTAATTCGGCCTATGTGGACATAATATGATCAACATCATAAATAAGAATGAGATTTGCACATTGGGGGGGGGGGGGCAAATTATACGACGTAATGATTACTGGCCAGCATAAGCTTGGGGTTGCAGCTTGACTGTATGGGGTGAATCCATCCGTAGTTTAACTTACGTACTTCAACTGTTAAATCTGGGTAAGTACGATCAATATGTCTCCAAGCATCACCATGTGACAAATGACTCATCAAGTTAGCATCAATAGATCCAGTACTGTGCCAACTCACGTGTAAGGTTGTACACATGGAAGCAAACAATTTCTGAAGCCAAAGTTTAAGCGGAAAATAAGATAAACACTTGTATGGAGTATTTTCCTAATTTTTATTCTTTCTTCCCCTTTGTTTGAATCTATCCACACCACAAAATTGGTAAGTCTTCTCGACTGTATGACCTCGTTGTACATCATGCACCCATTAATACAACAATAAATTTTCTCACATCGTAGTCCTAACTTTGAAACCAACTTTTTTGTTATGTATAGGCCATCCAACACTAAATTCCCTTCAGGGTTAGTCTCTTTCAACAAAAGTTGCTACCTAATTGAATTTTTTTCTAGGTATGTTAAAATCAGATTTGATGGTCAACATTCTCAGCTTCATTGATAATTATCTAGGTGAGATGCAACCATCCCATAAAAAATTGTTGTACAGAATCAATAAGTCATAAAGTTGTTGTGATTCGTCATTCAGTGTTTCAACTTCGTGTTGAATGCTTCCAACAAATTGAGCTATCGAGCATCACGAACCATTTTTTTCATAAGCGTCAACATCAAATTCGATCATACTAATATATATATA